GGGGGGGGGGATGAAATTTTTCTAAAAAGGCTGCTGGTCGGAAAAATGAACGAACAATTATCAGAATTATACGAAATACCTGCTCGTTAGTGGGGATGAAATTTTTTTAAACTGGCTGCTCGTCAAAAGAATGAACCAACGATCACCGGAATACACTAATAAAATACATTTGCCAAGAAGAATGTTAATGAAAAACAAAAAATTTTTTAAAAGGAATATTTGTTGGCTCCAAGGCTTAGATCCACTACTAACCTTCAAAAGTTACCGTAAAAAAAAGAAAAGAAAAAAATCATATTAAAATAGCGTTATTATGAATTTATGTAATATACGAATTAGTGAAGTACAAACAATATATGAATATTTTGTAGTACGATAAATTTCTGTAATAAATGCAAATGAACATAAATTTTTGCAATATAATGCAAATTCGTATAGTCATCTGTGACCTCACTAAAAACCATCGATATGACTGAACGTTTCTCTGGTTTTTCAACGAGCCACCGGCAATAATAATACGGGACATAAGGAATATGAAGTCGTCACCCGTGAGATCGAAACGTTTATCGGCGTGACCTAATATCGCGGCCCTCTGAAGGGAATGCATAACGCGCGATACGTATCGCGGGTAAACGCATCGTCGGCGATATCCGGCCAGTTCGTTCAATCGACGTAGTTATGACCGTTACGGAGGGCATTTTATGGAGTATTTTTATCGACGAGCCGCGGATCGAAAGGTTACGCCGCAGTAGTAAAAGCCGCGTGTGGTCAGACGATGCGACTGGCCTCGATGTGACTGGAAATTGATCGCTGTTTTCAATCTCACGTTAAGTATTAAGTATCACGGTTGTTGCCGGAGAAAAGAGGATGTTTCACAAGCGCGTGAAATCATTTAAAATCTCGCGGTTAAAAGTGCTTTTAAACGATATTCATTGGACGTCGAAGTTCTTAGTAATTACGATAATAATTGATAGATCTTATATTAGCTAAAGGAGTGAAAACCCTGTGAAAATTCGTTCCATGTACTACAATATTACAATATACCCTACTTTGGACACTTTTGTCTATTACATGCATTACGTATATAATATACGTATAATTTTTGCAACTCCTAGTTTTCCGTAAATGCAGGAAATCTGCGCCCCACTAATTAATAACACGATCAATCAAATCAAACTTCTGAATCTGAATCTGAAACCGCATCGAGGAAAGAAATTCGCTTACTCGGGGATCACTACACTGTTAAACGAGCTGTACAGTCTCGTACGTAAAATTTTGAAGGCTAACAAAGAGAGAGAGAAAGAAAACAGAATGAAAGAGCGAGAGATGTATAATAAAGCAAGAGGCTGAACAACTGTGTGCTCCTACAAATGCTGTAAAAAGATCGGCGAATTAACGAGGAGCATTTATCACCTTGGGGGAAATTTTTCCAGGCTTCGAGGTTCGTCGTCGAGCAAAAGTCGCGCGATACGCAGCAAACGGGGCTATTTAGGGAACACCATCAATCAATAGCGTGAAGTGAAACGCGGGAAAAATTGACACTGTTCCGGAATCGCGTTGAAAAAGAGAGAGAGAGAGAGAGAGAGGGGGGGGGGAAACAAAAGAAAGGGGCGAGGAGAAAAGAAGAAGAAGAAAAAAAAAACATGAATATGAATGATTATATACCTGGCGTGTGTGCCGGTTGAAGTTATTAATATTCCATTGAAACCCGTGGAATTCTATTCAGGTCGCTGCCTGGAAATTCAAATGAATCGAGTGAATTCTGATCCGCGGCCAGATTGCAGTTGGAAAGTGGACGGCCATTACCGTCCATTCTATAAATTTGGATCGTCCTTTATGGTGGCTCGTTAAAACTAACGTAGTTACTGGCTGATCTCTGGGATTAAATCGGTCAAACAAGCCGGCCAGATGACTCGGAAAACGGCTCGGGGGAAACAAACGGAAGTGCTGAGCAACCTGCCGGCGACGATAACAGGTGAACTCTACGTTTCTAATCTTTCGTTCTTTTTCTCTCTGCCT